TTTTACTTTTGGATTTCTTGTCGGGGTCATTGAGCATAGGCAAAAACATCGCAAAGACAAGATGCATATTGTTGCTGCTTAAGGTCATGCTGCGAGCCTTGGTATGTTGGCGTCACTCAGCAATCTTCTCGCGACAAACTGCACATGTGAAGGCCAGGCGTGGGTCAATTGTTGATGAGGATGAACATCAATGCAGGTAACAGACAAGGAGGAACCTGGAGCATCAGCAGTACATAGCTCCCCACATGCTCCCACTCAAATATTCATGGGTGAGGTTGCAAGACTAGCCCTGCAAGATGCCTCCAGTGCTGCTGCCAACAGCTTAGTCACGCTTGCTTGCTTCAAGAGTTGCACAAACAGCTTAGCTAGGTGCTTGGGGTGATCTTCAGTGGTTGGGGCCGACAAGCTCAAATGGCATTGCGGCGAAGACAGCGAGTAGATGCGCGGCAGGCCTGTGGTCAGATGGGTGCTGCAAGTTTCTGCATGACCAGACCATTCAGCATAATTCAGCCAGGAGCTTGTGCCGACCCTTTTGCTCGTAGCAACCCTTGCCGCGCTGGTCCGAGTTTTTGACAAGCAAGCATGTATGTTGAAGCTCGGGCCAGTGAGCTGTTTTCTTGGCCGTTCATGCGTGACGTCACGTATGGAATGCAATCAGTCGTATGTTTTTGTGGAACCAGGTTTGAGCTCGTCATGGTGTTGCTACGGCTCAAGTTTTTGTTTGCCAGGGTCCGTCGCCGCCACACGCAAACGGACCAGTACGATGGCAGTCATTGTGCTGGTGGATCCACTCTCCACGGGAGCTCGGATGGCAGAAGTCGCATCGTCTCGTGGTTTTCGGGTGGTCTTGCTGTGGAGTAAAGAATGCACACCACAGACTCTGGGAGTCCTGGCAATGATTCGTGGCTACGAAGCAGTGGAAGAGCAAGCTTCCATTCCAGATACTGTCGAGGCCATCAAAGATAAGCTGCGTTGCACTAGCAACTCTGCCACAACTGCCATCAGCGCTTGCATCCCTGGAACTGAATCAGGCGTCAAGTTGGCAGACCTTATTTCCCTCCACTGCAACCTCCTACCCCATGGCTCGGGGAACGCAGCCTTTGCGGGCGGCGACCGTCGGAACAAACACGTGCAGCAGAAGGCACTGGAGAAGTCTGGGCTAAGGGCGGTTCGTGAAGTGTGTGGCTCCAAGTGGCAGGATGTGAAGGATTTCTTGGGGGATTTAGGGCTTCCAATTGTGGTGAAACCAGTGCAGTCTGGTGGCACTGATGGAGTGAAACTTTGCCAGTCGCTGGAGGAAGCAGAGGAACACTTTAGTCACCTGAACGCCACGAAAAGGACAGTGTTCTCCTCCGACACTGCGATTTTGTGTCAGGAATTTCTTGCTGGTCAGGAGTATGTTGTAGACCATGTCTCACGGAATGGTGTGCACAAGACTGTAATGACTTGGGTCTATGAGAAGAAAGCTTTGAATGGCAGTTCTTTCATCTGTTTGGCCACCCGACCCCTGGAGACGAAGGATTGTCCGCCAGAGATTATCTCATATACTCGTGCAGTGCTTGATGCGTTGCAGGTTGGCAATGGCGCAACTCATGCCGAGGTCAAGATGACTCCTGATGGTCCTTGTCTCGTAGAAGTGAACATGCGCATGATGGGTGCCAGCGGCGCGTTCATTTCTTTGGCACGCTTGCTAACAGGCACCTCTCATGCAGATGCAACTCTTGACTCCCTGAGTCAAGAGCGTTTTGACGCACTCCCTGATATTCCCAGAGCCTTCGGCACTTCAGGTGTGATGATATCGTTGGTGTCCTACTCAGCGGGCACAGTGACAAGCACACCGGGCTATGAGAGGATGAAGAAGCTGGCTACATTTGTGGAATTGCACACTTCGATTTCATGTGGATCTGCAGTTGCCGCGACTGTCGACGCTGTCACGATTGCCGGCCTTTTACTGCTGGCTGGCTCAGATGACCAGATCCGGGAAGATGTTGCGGAGGTGCGACTTCTCGAGAAAGAAGGTCTTTTCTGCTTCGCTGATGTGGCCAAAGGGTTTACATTTGGTGGGGCGTAGCCGCCTAGCTAGCAAGCGGTGCTTGAATCTGGCATCGGACTTACTCATCAATTAATATGCATGCATGTACAGTGGCTCATGCGCAGATGTGGCATGTATGGCTTCTCTTGTGCGCGGAGCGCCGAGACCTCTTTTCATTGCACTCAGTCTTTAGATGCTGCTGGCAAGCTGTCAATGCAATGGTCTTGTATGTCTTGTTTGATTTTTCGCCTCCGTGCCTTGCGGGGGGAAGAAGCGCGGCTGGGAATTTGCCACCTGTGACCGGAGCATTTTGTTTATATAAACATGTTTTTGGCACTTTGGCATCAGAGCCATCCTATGGGTGTGCAAGCTCACTTCCAAGATCTAAGTGTGCAAGCGATTCGATTCTGTGATGCAGAGTTGGCTGCTTTGGACTGCTCAAAGTGACATTCATTAGTCCACCTGCAGGTGCTTTTGCGTTGGGCTCACTGTGTGCATTTGCCCATTTTCAACATCACCTCCCTTGTGCCAAGGCTTGGAGGTCAACTAAGACAGCCAGATTACTGGATGGCAGTATTCAAAGGGTTCGTGGCCAAGTTCTTCAAATATTTTCGCAAGAGCTCTCGAATATTCAAGATTGGTCAAGCCGCAAAGCAGCTCCAAGGTGAAACTGTTGGAAGTGAGGCCACATCACTATACTGAACAGTTGAAGCTGCGGCGGTTTTGGGATTCATCGATAAATGCCAAAAAAAACACTGCCAGTATGCATGGTTTGCATTTTACATCATTTTACATCTTGTTACATTAACTTGCGTGTTGCAGGACAATGGCGTCCATGGCTTCTTCGGCAGGCTGGATGAGCTGGTACAGCTCGTTGGTCGGAGCTGATGAGGGTGCACAGTACCCGTGAACTGTTGCCAATTTCTGTTCACCAGCAGGCCTCACACCTTTAATTGTACGACTTGCATTCAAATTGACGGTGACAAATTCCCAACAATACTTTGTCATCCTCTCCTGTTTGCTTGTTGGCTCATTGCCGCCAAACTTCTGTACTATGCAAAACGACGGTTGACTGTAGTTCCCAACGCTCTTGAATACAAGCCATGGTGCTGTTCGGGCGACGCTTGGTCCGCCGTTCTTCAACCGTAGCAAGCATAGACGCTCGTGCTGCAGCATGAAGTGTGTTGAACATAAGATATATTTAATGTTGGAGTTAACCTCAAGAAGATATGACTTGCTTGCCAACAGCCAACGGGTTCAGCACCAAGGCGTGGCCACGGCCAGGGCGTGTAGGGATGGTCGGCCTGGGCCAATTGGGACAAGCAGCTTCACACGCGGCAATTACAGTAGATTTCAACATGCGTTCCAATATGATTGTAGAATGGTTTTGCAGTGACGATGCCTTGCTCACAAAGTAAGGTTACCGGAAACCTTTTGCGAGCTGGTTTAGCTCCAGTTCTTTACGACGCACCTTGATTGCACTGGTTGGTTTGCGAAGACTTCCTTGTCATGTTCACGCTGCGTACGGGTATGCGGACTGCTGACTTGCCAGCTTCCCTGTTCAGGTGAAGGGAGAAAGCATCGCTCACTCTTTGTTGGATCAGGGTGCTGTTTGGGCCAAATCAGGCAGAGAAGTTGCAGAGCAATGCCTCTTGGGCTGATCGAACAGTGTCATCAAATGTCCACAACAATCACAATATTTAGTAAATATTAGTTTTATGAATGGATGCCTCCGAGTTGCGGAAACAACAGAACCTCGCGAGTCGTCAACATCAAATATGCACAGAGAACTTGCGGGAATGTGTGGGTGTGAGAGCAAGGGGCGTGCGAAATGCACTACTAGGAGCAAGAAGCTACTAGGAGCAAGGGCATCGCTGCTAGGAGCAAGGAGCAAGGACGCTAGGGGCTCCTGGCCTCGCTACTAGGAGCGTAAGGCCAGGAGCCCCTAGTAGCGTCCTTGCTCCAAGTAGTAAGGCCAGGAGCCCCTAGTAGCTTCTTGCTCCTAGTCCTAGTAGTAAGGCCAGGAGCCCCTAGTAGCGTCCTTGCTCCTAGTAGTAAGGCCAGGAGCCCCTAGTAGCGTTCTTGCTCCTAGTAGTAAGGCCAGGAGCCCGTAGTAGCGTCCTTGCTCCTAGTAGTAAGGCCAGGAGCCCCTAGTAGCGTTCTTGCTCCTAGTAGTAAGGCCAGGAGCCCCTAGTAGCGTCCTTGCTCCTAGTAGTAAGGCCA